CATCGATGCATATTGTGACAAAAAAAGGACGATTATGGGGAAATAGATATGCTCTGTCTGCCTCTAAAAAGGTAATGGCCCCATAAACTTCCTGGATGCACCGAGGCACATACTCCTTAGCCTCAGCAACTTCATCATGGTGCACTTCAAAGATATTAATGAGGGCTTTTGTTGCTTCCAACCTGGCGGCTTGGCTCAGCCCCAAATGGTCAAAGAAGGCGCGAAACTTAACAGAGTTTTGCAAGGCCTAGGCATTAGCATCCTTTGCGAATTTTGCCTCTGCAAGTACTGTCTCAGGGAGCTGGCCGGTTGTAATTTCTTCTAACTCATCATAGTAAGACGCCATATGCACTTGATCATGCACAGGCCCGAGATAGCCAATCATATATGTATATTCTTTCCCTTCTCCTTGTGGTTAGGATAAGGGTCCTTCCGCACATGACAGTTACCCGGCATCTATAAACTTCAGCTCATTTGCGTCAACTTTTTTCTTAAAGATACTTTTCAAAGTCCAACAATCCCTAATAGGGTGTCTGGTGGTTCAGTGATAGACACAATAATCCGAGCTTTCTTTGTCCTTCTTAGTTGGAGGGACATTAACTGGAGGCAAGGTAAGTTCACCATCAGCTATCCATTCTTTAACCAGAGCCTTAACATTCTCAACGCTGCAAGGACATGGATTTCTGTCCTCGTAACTCTTTCTCTTCCGAGAGGATGTCGCCTCCCCTTGCGAGCGGCTCCCTCCTGTAGAGGTTACCGCAGCAACTTTGCTACTGCAATGGTAGCGGTGGCTGTCACGAGATCTGTGCAAAGGACCAGTGGTACTGAGGTTCCTAGCTGCCTCAATCAAGACTGAAATGGTAGGCAGATTATGATTCACCAAGAAAATTTTGTAGTCGCATATGGCACCCCTCCACACATATGCCGACTAAACGGGCCTCATCCATTAGTTCATGACAATCAATAGTCTTGCCTTGGAACCGCTTAACATAGTCCAGTATATCTTCACCCACCCCCCTTTTGGACATTTCGCCCAAGGGTGAGAGTTGTAGCTTTCTCTTGGACTTGGAAGAACTTCGTGTGGAACTTGTTCACCATCTCCTCCCAACTCGATCAAGAGTTGGGAGCCAAGTTCACATACCAGCTGCAAGCCCTTTCAGTAAGTGGACTTGGAGAACTCCCGAAGGCGCAGAGAGTGGTCACGGCCATGGACACCAAGAGTTTCAATGAACCTCACCGCCTGTTCTCTGGCATTGCCTTGTTTCCCATCAAACTTAATAAACTTGGGCACTGTATACCCAGTTGGGCATGGCATGGTCAATATCTCCTGAGAGTATTGTGCCTTCACATCTGAGTCGGGGAGAGATGGGAGTGGCTTCTTGCTACGCTCTTGCTCGAGCATAGCTTGTACATCAGCTAGAGTAAAAAAGGGAGTGGGCTGGAACGGTCCAGTCTGCTCTTGGGAAGTCACCAGCGGCCGCACCGTTCGCTTGAAGTACCGCCGGAGGCATTCACATCTGAGTCGGGGAGAGATGGGAGTGGCTTCTTGCTACGCTCTTGCTCGAGCATAGCTTGTACATCAGCTAGAGTAAAAAAGGGAGTGGGCTGGAATGGTCCAGTCTGCTCCTGGGTAGCTGAACCAGCGGCTACACCGTTCGCTTGAAGTACCGTCGGAGGCACCTGGATTCGAACCCAAACCTTAGGGAACAAGTTAGACACTGGGTTTGGGACTGCTACGGGCGGAGATGTTTGCGCTGGAGCTAGTCGAGAAGCCATGGCCATAACAGCCTCAGTGAGAGTTTGCAAAGCTGCCAGGATCTCCCTCTGTGTATCCTAGAGTGACTGAACTGCCTCAATCACAACACTGTGGTCATGGTCCTCCGCATGTGCTACTCCGCCATTTGAAGAGCCTTGCTAAACTTCATCCTCTGCCATTTTTTTCCAGTGAGGTATGTAAACCACTATGGGTATGAACCATCAACAAAGCAGCCTCCCCAGCGGAGTCGCCAGAAATGTAAAGGGGTTCGAGGTTAGAGAAGGTAATTAGAGAGGCAAAACTATACTAATGGTCCAAAAATGGTGGAAGTGGCTTGAGAATGAGTAGCAGCAACTGTCTGGAAGTTAGAGAGTGTGCAGCTGGGCGAGGGTGAAGCAAGTAGCTCAAGAAGAAATGTATAGCAGTGCCAAAATGGGCAACATCTACCCCAAATCCCCAAATCCCCAAAATTCCTCTTGTTGAACCATGGGAAATGGGTCCTATTTATATAGGCTTTTCCTTGGCACCAAGAGGACACCAAGTGGCCAAATAGAGAGAGGACATGTGTCCTAGAGGATCACATGGAATATTCTGCCTTGAGTCACTAGGCTGAAGGTGCCACGTGTCCTTTTGCATGTACTGTGTACTATTTGTTTGCCTCTGCAACTACCTTTTTGAGCCTCAGCAAGTGTACTTGCGACGGGAGTGTTTGGCGCTGCAACTCCCTCTTGAGCCTGAGGAAGTGCAGTTGCGACGAGAGCGTTTGCCGCTGCACTTGCCTTCTCAGCTCGAACTTCAGCAAGTGCACTTGCAGCAATAAACTTTGCTACTACACTTGCCTTCTCAGTTCTACTTGGCCACTACATGCATTCTCAGAACTCCATTAGTCTGCTATCGACAATGTTCGTGCTCACCGCAGCGAAGCCTTCACCCTTAGCCACCTAACCACAAACTCCCCAGCTTCCCCAGGCGAAGGCCACAGCCAAGCCTGCCATCAGCCTTGTTGTTCCTTAGTACCAAGCCCAAGGGGCTTCCTTAGTCCTGCCTGTGCGACTAAGGCAAGTCTATGACCTGGGTAATGGAAAGGGAGTCCCTTATTCGCGGGAACGTCGCGGTAAACTGGTACCCTGGGCCTGCTATCAACTCCAACCAATAAGTCTTAGGGCCTGCTATCAGCCCTGGGCTAGTAATGCCTTGAGGACTGCTATCAGCGCCAGGCATTACCCTCTCCTTGCAGAGGGAAAGCTTTTCCGAGAGACTGCTATCACCTTGGCGGGATGTTCCCTCCGCAACTTGGTTGCGGCGGCAGTAGTTGCTGCGGCAGTCATTTCCCGTGGCAAGTTCAAATGGCATAACCGACAATATTGGAGATGGCGGCGCCGACAAAGTGCCTATGCAACTTGGGCGCCTCTGCAACTTGGTAGCTTCGGTTCTCCCCTTCCCTCAGCAACTCCAGGTGGCGACGGAACCGAGAATACTTGGAATGGCAGCGCTAAGTCATTTCCCGCGGCAAGTTCAAATGGAAGAACCGACAATATTAGAGATGGCGGCGCCGACAGAATGCCTCCGTAACTTGGGTGCTGCAAGTACTACCTCTGTAACTTAGTTGCTGCGGCTTTCTCTTTCCGTCATCAACTTTGGATGGCGGCGGAGCTGAAGTTAATAGGAATGACAGCGCTGAGGCAAAGTACCTCGACAACTTCCCCGCTGCATGTATTCCCTCTGCAACTTGACCGTCGCATGTGTTCCCGCTGCAACTTGACTTCGTCATTTTCCCTCGTGGAGTCTATTTGGACCCTTGGCAGGTCGGACCTACTCCAGCCCACTGTTGGCCCACTTCCCTTGGACTTTAGCCCATGCTCCTTTTTCATTCTTGGTCGCCTCTTTGCGACGATCTCAGTACTTAGGCCCATACTTAATTTGGGGTTTAATTTCTGACCCTCTAAAAAAACAGAACGTAGTGGCTAGAAATAGTGTTGAAGCTGAATTTAGATCAATGGCTCATGGAATTTGTAAAGCTTTGTGGATCGAGAGATTAATGGAAGACTTAAAAATTCCAAGACCATCACCAATGGAAGTTTACTGTAACAAGAAGGCAGCAAATGCAATTGCTCGACAAGCACTTTATCAACGAAAAGATTGAGAAGGAATTGATCTACATGTCTTATATACCCACTACGGAGCAGATTGCAGATGTTCGTACAAAAGGACTACACAAGAAGCAGTTCGACCACCTAATCTACAAGTTGGCCATGGAAGACATATTCAAGCCAACTTGAGGGGGAGTGTTGGAAATGGGAAGAAAATAATTCTGCTAGGATATGGCAAAATTCTTTAAGATATCACAGCTGTAAATATCTAGATTTAGTCAATACTATAGAATAGGAAAGTTTATATTTAGAATTAGAATTAGTAACTAAATAGTAGCTAATCAGTCCTCAGAATCAGTAGCCAATCAATCCCTTATTTTATGCCATGTATCTCCTATTAATAGAGGTGCTGTGTGTACATTGTTTAAATATGAGAATAATAAATATTATTCTTTCTAGCTTTCATTCAAAATAATAAAATCCAATTTTCCAACTAGTACCAAGCATGTAGATTTTGAATTTCTGAACAAATTTAATTAAGGCATTTCAAAATGGCCTATTTGACTGATCAATAAATTAATGGAAGGAAAATAACACGGTGCAGCTTTTAATAGAGTAAGTAGAACTTCAATTGGCGAACAATACTGCAAGACCCCAAATGTTCTAGCAAACACTCACATGGGTGTTGGTCCCACACCCATGTGCGTGGTAGATTTTTTGGTAAATTTTTGCGTATTTCTAGGCATTTTGCTCATTGGTGAAATATGGCAAGAGATGAAAACCACAAAAGAAAGACACGAAAAGGAGCATAATGTAACTAGGGAATCCTAGAAAACAAACTCACTTGGTAAGTCAACGAGAGATGGAAATAAGCTGAACAAATGATCCAAGAGACATCAATGCTAGAAGCACACTTAGAAACGATTTTTCTGATCTGCATCAAAAAAGAAAACAGAAAAAAAATATATGTATGAAAGTTAGTAATGCCCTTCACTGCAGATTAAGTCCACAGTATCTCTGAACGCATTCTTTTAGACCCTCCTTTTTGAAATTAAACATGTGTTTGTCAAATTTTCCATTAAGCTCAATTAGTTTCAATACGAAATTACTATACCATATTTTGTTCCAACAAGGTTAGGAAGGCGCATAATAACTTTAAACATACAAAATAAGGTGTGGCATCACATAAGCAACGAAATTTATTTCTGAAGTAGCATTGACAAGACAAAAATAAAATGAAACTACAATTATGAATACCAATATATATGAAGGGTCTTGCTAAAAAGTGCCCTGGGACACGAAAAAGTAGACCAAAAAATAAATTTGAAAACACAAGACACTTCTTATTAAATTCAATGCAATTTTTATTGAAATTAATGCACTTCTTTTAACTGTTTGACCTATATTTTCAAGACACTTCCTTATTTCAATCCCAATATTCAGCACTTTTAACATTTGTCATATACAAATATCAAGTTATAAGGACACAACAATTGCACGAATTATAACTAAGATCATTTCAATAAAATAAATGAAATATATCTTTTAAGAATGGAACCAAAAAGATGACACAAGGAACTTACTTCTCTACATTTCATAAGCTTTAGCATTAATGGGAAAAACTACAAATGCAAGAGACTGATGTTAGAGGAGGGTAACGAATTATAACTAAGATCATTTCAATAAAATAAATGAAATATATCTTTTAAGAATGGAACCAAAAAGATGACAAAAGGAACTTACTTCTCTACATTTCATAAGCTTTAGCATTAATGGGAAAAACTACAAATGCAAGAGTGATGTTAGAGGAGGGTAAGTTACCAAAATATTTGATATACATGTTTCATATTTCTTCTTTTCTACTTCTAAATCTGAAAATCCAGTCAAATAAAGAAACTAAATCCTATGCAAAGAATCATGCCAATCTCAAATCATACCTGAGGGAGTAATGTCGGGAAATTAGTTAGAAGTTTTCTCTTGTTAAGATTTCAAAAGTCAGTGTAGCAGCAACAACACGGTCTAAAAATTCACTGCAATCAAACATTGGAAGAGTGATTTTCAACTATGATTTATCATATGATATGCATAAATAGAGAATAATTGTTAGATGAAATCATAATTTCATTTTTTCCCCACAAATAAACTTTTGTGAAAGGACTACAAACTAAACCATCTTTACCGGCTCAAACATGAATGAATGAAGGTCCTCCTATTGCGATCAGCATCATGTAGAACCACCTCTCCAAAATAAAGAAAAAATAGACGAATTTCCTGAATAAAACTGTAGAATAAAAGAACAATGCTTACATTAGCACATATGTACGCATAAACGGGTGGCGGTAACCGTCAAAACCGTTACGTAACGGCGTTACGTAACGGTTGCGGCCGCTTTTTAAAACCTTGCACATATGTAAGCATAATGATGAGGGGAAGAACTAGGAGAGAGGTAAATATCAAGCACCAAAAATACTTCAACATTCCAAATAAATAGAAATTACAAGTTAATAACACCTGCAATCAATTTATGGTCATTTTTTTCCATGTTTTGCTTGGTTCTGCTTTGAATGAGAACCATCATGGCTCGAGCTTTGACAACTTCTTAAGCTAGACAAGGTCTCTTCTTTTTTTTTATAACAAAACAAGTAACTCATTGCAGCAAGCAAACATACAAATTCTTCTCAAAGAAAGTATTTTCTCCCTCCAACCTAAACGATGCATTGTCCTCAATGTAAAAAACAAAATCACAAAGGTAACTAACAACTCCTAAAAGTAACATTACTTTTATTATTATGTTTATGGGTCTCGATAAATAGGGCCCTTTCAATTCAATGGACTCCTCTCCTCTTCAGGTGGGAAATTCTCCAAAACTGGTTTAAGACGTTGGCTAGTCACTTTAAAAACATTACCATTCCTGGGATTTTCAATCTCAACGGCCCCATGAGAAAAGTTTTAACTATGAAAGGGCCGGTCCATCTAGATCTCAATTTACCAGGAAACAAATGTAGTCTAGTTTTATACAAAAGAACCTTTTGTGAAGGATTAACAATTCCTTCGAGTACAAACAATATTAACATTAAAAACATATCATATACAATGACACGGGGAGGACTAGTCAATCAACTAGATGCCCTTTTTTCTTCCAAAACAGCACACCATTTCTGCTCCCTTATCAACAAAAATATGCAATCCTGCCTTTAGGCAATAGAAATATTATCCTTTATTCGATGAAAAGCTACAAACACAAGACCGTTGTGAGTAAAAAGGTATAAATCTTATGTAGAGGGGTACAAAATTAAGATAAAAATTACCATCTTGTTGCGCTGAATTCGAGCAGCCCAAGCACCCTTGACAACATTGCGATCAGATCTAGTGTTCTTGCTATTATCTAAGTCACCCAATATATATTACATAAAAGGAACAAATAAGGAACAAAAGATGAGTAGTAATTAAAAGGAAAAATAAATAAATATTTGAAGAGCAAAATCAAAATATAAAAGGACTGGAGGTACAATGAAATCTTGTCTAACCTTTGATAGAGATTCTGTGGATGTTATGAGATGATTTCAAAGCAAACCGAGTCTTACGGGCCTGGTTGAGCAATTTATATTGTTGATGGCTCAAGTGTAGTTTTTCTAAAAATTTAAATTAAATACATTAAATCACAATTAAATATAAATTGAGAGAATGAATATAATATCCAAAATTCCTAGAATAACTACGTAAGTTTAAGCATTCATCACACCTCCCAACCAGCTTTAATTTTAGAACCTAGCAACTAAGGCGACTAAAATAAAATCAAAAAGAAAAATAAAAGCAACTACTCTAAACCACTTCCGCAAGAAATCACGATTGAATTTAGCACATGCAACAAGCCCTTAATCCAATAGATTACCTCTCATGGACGAGTTAAAGTCTCGTGTTTCCAAAGATGTTACCCACAAACATCCAAAAATTTCTTTACTAAAACGACTTCTTTCATTCTCATGCCAAGGTTAAAGAACCAGTCATGAATTTCACAACCTCAACAAGATAATCAATCAAAGTTCAAAAGACTAGCAGCAAGTAAAGATATTGCATGACATTCAAAATTTGGAGTGTGTGAAAAAAGTTCAACCAACACAAACACAACCTTAGCCTTAAAGTGAAATATAACCCAAATCTCTTTCTGAAACATGCTTCGACTCAAATCTCACCAGTTATTGCACTCAACAAATAAATCACTCGGAATATGGTGCAAAAATTGCTCTCAATATATGCGAGTAGAACAATGTAAATCAAAGCTAAAATACACGATTGAATTTAGCACATTCAACAAGCCCTTAATCCAATAGATTACCCCTCATGGACGAGTTAAAGTCTCTTGTTTGCAAAGATGTTACCCACAAACATCCAAAAATTTCTTTACTAAAACGACTTCTTTCATTCTCATGCCAAGGTTAAAGAACCAGTCATGAATTTCACAACCTTAACAAGATAATCAATCAAAGTTCAAGACACTAGCAGCAAGTAAAGATATCTCATGACATTCAGAATTTGGCGTGTGTGAAAAAGTTTAGCCAACAGATATACAACCTTAGCCTTAAAGTGAAATATAACCCAAATCTCTTTCTGAAACATGCTTCGACTCAAATCTCACCAGTTATTGCACTCAACAAATAAATCACTCAGAATATGGTGTAAAAATTACTCTCAATATATGCGAGTAGAATACTGTAAATCAAAGGCAAAATATCCCGCATACTAATTTTTTGGAAAAACGCTATAATGAAAGAATAAATAAATAGTCTCATGAATGGAATATCAAATACTGAGAATTAAAATTACCACACCATCACCCCAATCCATCATGTCCACTTGTAAACTATACCACACTCAAGATCAAATAGGACTTTCATTTGGTTGTAATGCTTGGGTTGAGGAATTAAGAAAAAATAATAAAAAGCCAAAGGTGAATAAAAAAAAGGACGTCTGAGAGACAATTGGCATAAAAATAAACACAATTAGAGCATTATTCCAAATGCCTTGCTCTTTCTATTACTTTTCTTTTTGTCTTTTTCAACTTCCTCCTTCTCCTTTTTTTTTCTTTTTTTTTTTTCAAACAAATTTGCCATTTTCAAACTCAAATAATCCCAACATATCTACAAAAGTAAAAAGAAAGTATGGGTTGAGGGGTTAAACAAAGAAAGGCTAACATAAAAGGCTCAAATTGGTTTCTAATGGGTCGTGAAGTAATAATAAAAGAAAGAAAAATAAATAAAAGGCTCAAAGAAACAAAGATGGCCTAAAATCATCTCTCAAGAATTAGTATGGTCCTTCAACTTTCATGATCTCAAGAGAATAAAAGTGTCATAACAAATTGATTTATTCTCAGCATTCAACCAAAATGAAGAAATAATGAGACTAAACAACAAATTAATGTCCTTCCCAGGGTTAAAAGTCTCCACTATCATTCTTCAAGATTTTCAAGTCATATCCACTTATCAACTAAAAATCATATTCATGTGGCTAAAGTGCAATGCAATTATTTCCAAATACGAACACATGAAATACTTTAACAAAGTAGCTAGCATATCAAACTTCAACACAATTTCTCAAGTTAAAGCAATAAAATACTACAAGTATGCCGAATCAGTCAATGCATAGAACAATACATTACCATGCACACCTTTTTTTCTTTTTTTAAACAAAACAACTAACTCATTGTAGCAAGCAAACATATAAATTCTTCCCAAAATAAGTATTTTCTCCCCCCAACCTAAACGATGCATCATCCTCGAGGGAGTAAAAAGTGTGATAACAAATTGATTTGTTCTCAGCATTCAACCAAAAATGAAAAAATAATGAGACTAAACAACAAATTAATGCGCTTCCAAAGAAAAATTAAGAGTAGATGTATAATGACCCTCCAATAAATGATTGGCACAAAACTCACAAGGTGAAAAGTCTCCACTATCATTCTTCAAGATTTTCAAGTCATATCCACTTATCAACTAAAAATCATATTCATGTGGCTAAAGTGCAGTGCAATTATTTCCAAATACGAACACATGAAATACTTTAACAAAGTAGCTAGCATATCAAACTTCAAAACAATTCTCAAGTTAAAGCAATTAAATACCACAAGTATGCCCAATCACTCAATGTATAGAACAAAAGAATACCATGAGCACTAAATTTTTATTTTTTTTTCCAACAAATGAAACACAAAATTCCAACAAATGAAACACAAAATTCCAACAAATGAAACACAAAATTCCAACAAATGAAACACAAAATTCCAACAAATGAAACACAAAATTCCAACAAATGAAACACAAAATTCCAACAAATGAAACACAAAATTCCAACAAATGAAACACAAAATTCCAACAAATGAAACACAAAATTCCAACAAATGAAACACAAAATTCCAACAAATGAAACACAAAATTCCAACAAATGAAACACAAAATTCCAACAAATGAAACACAGCGCCACAACAAATGAAACACAAAATTCCAACAAAATCTCTACAAAAGAAGAGATAAAATTGCATAAGATAATACATGTATTAGCAGTTCACTCTTTGCATGTTTTTTTCCACATGAAACTATTAACAAAGTTTTTTTTTCCCACTTTTCCTTCCATTTCTTTTTCCCTTCTCATACAAGATCCACCGGATGCTTATCATGAAATATAGCCCAAATTATTGGAAAGGAATTTCCAAACCTCACACATATGTTGGAACACTATAGCAATCGCAATCAAATACATCACAAGATCAATATAAATAAATTATATATTACATATATATATAACACCACATATATCAGTATAACCAATTACCCTATTTTTGTTTCATCATAGAGTAGTTGAAAAAGGCGTCATTTCAATACATTATGCAAACAAAAACCTATGAACTAATCAATTCTCAATTCAACAGCACACCCAATTTTCAAACAACACAATTCAAATAATTTTGGTTGAAACTCATATTAAATTGTATGAATCGAATCATGCATCATACAATTCTAACACCATACTAGTTGGAACCAGAGTTTTAAAAGGCTTTCCTGAGACTCGCCTTGATGCTCGCCTCGCCTCGAGACTAAGGTAAAACGCATCAAGGCTTTGATTCTTAGGCATTACTCCCCAAAGGCTTGCGCATCACAGTTTAAGACATGCGCCTTAAGTGCGCTTTGTACGCTTTTTGCGCAGTGAATTTATTCTTCAGTGATAACTGAGATTAGAAATTACATGGTTGTCGACTCTGCTAGCTGGTGCCGGAGGCAAGACGAGATCTGTGACCAGATCAGGTTGACGATATACAGGCACCCCCATCACCTTCTATCTCCATGCCCATGTCAGCTTCCCAAGAATCACACTCTGCATCACAACATCAAAAAGGATAAATGAAAAAAATAAAAACTAAAAAAAACTAGGGCCCAATTTAGTCTCCATTTCCAAGCAATGGTAGCAACATAAGTAAAGGAATTCTTGAGTGATAACTAAGATTACATAGTTGTTGACTCACTGCTCAGTTGAGGAATTCTTTAGTCTTCATCACTTGTGTTACTACTCGCTGCTCAATTGCCATTGAATAAAAAAAGGTCTACATTAATCGCCCAAAAAACACATGGATTTATTATATATAGCCCAACAGACATTAATTATGTAGCAACTACCACCAATAAACTACTAAGTGAATTTTTAGACCATGTTGTAGAAGCTACACTGAAATTTCGAAATCTTAGCAAGAGAAAACTTCTAACTAATTTCCTTACATTACTCCCTCAAGTATGATTTGAGATTGGCATGATTCTTTGCTTAGGATTTAGTTTCTTTATTTGACTAAATTTTGAGATTTAGAAGTAGAAAGTAGAAAAGAAGAAATATGAAACATGGATATCAAATTTTTTGGTAACTTATCCTCCTGTAACATCAGTCTTGCATTTGTAGTTTTCTCCTTTATTGCTAAAGCTCCTGAAATGTAGAGAAGCAAGTTCCTCATGTCATCTTTTTGTTCTGTTCTTACTAGATATATGTAATTTATTTTATTGGAATGGTCTGAGTTATAATTCGTGTAATTGTGGTGTCCTCGAGATATTTGTATATGACAAATGCTAAAAGTGCTGGATATTAGGATTGAAATAAATAAGTGTCTTGAAAATAGGTCAAACAGTTAAAAGAAGTGCATTAATTTCAATAAAAACTGCATTGAATTTAATAAAAAGTGTCTTGTGTTTTCAAATTTATTTTTTGGTCTACTTTTCGTGTCCTCGAGGCACTTGTTAACAAAACCCTTCATATATTGGTATTCATAATTGTAGTTTTATTTTATTTTCGTCCTGTCAATGCTACTTTAGAAATAAATTTTGTTCCTTATGTGATGCCACATCTTATTTTGTATGTTTAAAGTTATTATGCACCTTCCCGACCTTGTTGGAACAAAATATGGTATAGTAATTTCGTACTGAAACTAATTGAGCTTAATGGAGATTTTGGCAACTAAACACATATGTTTAATTTCAAAAAGGAGGAACTAAAAGAATCCTTATAGCCTGGTGTCAAGAGAAAATTGAGAAACTAATTGGCATGAGTAGTATTTTATTTTTGAGTTACGACTTATGTCTACAAATTGACTTTCCTACTTAACAAAAAAAATAAAAATAGAATCATCGTTACCGACTCAAACATGAATGAATGAAGGTCCCCATACTAGGATCAACATCATGTAGAACCACCTCTCCAAAATAAAGAAAAAATAGACGAATTTCATGAGTAAAACTATAGAATAGAAGAACAATGGTTACATCATCACATATGTAAGCATAATGATGAGGGGAAGAACTAGGAGAGAGGCAAATATCAAGCACCAAAAATACTTCAGCATTCCAAATAAATAGTAACTACAAGTTAGTAACACCTGCAATCAATTCATGGTCATTTTTTTCCAAGTTTTATTTATTTCTTGTTTGGTTGAAGGGCTATTTTTTATAAAATTAAACTTCTAAATAACTGAAAATCTCGGCGGTTGCCTCGCCCTCAATCTCCATCAACATCTCCAAATTACATGGACTACACTAACAGGAATTGCAATGTATGTAGAACTCTGAACGTGAAGTAAAAGCAAAATTAAATAAGATGAGACAAAAACAATACACATTTTTTAACAATGGAAAAGTGGGGACATGCATATAGGAGTCACCCAAAAAAAAAAAAAGGCAACAACATTATTTAATGGGAACTGCATTTTTATAACTAAAATCTATAGCGGTAGTGATGGAAAATTATTTGTACATCCACAAGCAAAGATGTAGGCAAGTTGCACCCTGCCATGACACAATATACATTGAATGCTTTGATTTTCAAGCTTTTCCAATAGAAGCCTCAGAGTAATACCAAAACAAAACTTGTCTCAATTCTACTAAAATAACTTTTTCTACCTCATAAGAGAAAATTTGGTCTATAAATAGAGTAGAAGTTTTCACTGTAAGTAGGGGAACCAATGCACATATTAAAGCTGAAACACATATTAAAGCTAAAACAGAACATGAATTTCAAAATTACTATACAGAGTGAAAATATTGTGACATGCATCAAGAATAGAGTCAAAGTGAATATTGACATCATGCAATGCTATAGCAAAATACACATCAAGAGAGAGAGGAGAGATAGTGACAGTGGTGATTAAGAGTTTGATGAGGGTGTGTGGTCATAAAGCAATCAATGGATAGAGAAATCAATACCAGTAAAAGAAGACCACTCTTTGAGATTGCGAAATCAAAGCCACTGAGCATTGAAAAATCTTGTTAAGTTGCAGATAAACCCTAGCTCTGAAATCTTCAACACACTTCATGAAGCTTGTTCACCTGATCATATTGAAATCACATAAACAAAAATAATCACAAGAATAATCAAGCAATTTTATACAAATTTCAATTAATCTCAAGCAATTTGAAGCAAAATTTAAGCAATTCTCCATCATTAGAAAGACGATTTCAGAAAAATAAATAACTAGATTTCAAGATGCATGATGGATTTCAGACGATCTCACACTTCTTCTTCTTCTTCTACTTCGGCTTAGGCTTTTAGTGTGGTTTAGGGGGTTTCTGCTGATTCGTCTAAGGGTTTTTTTGTGCTTCGTCTTCATGTTCTCCATCAGAAAAACGATTTGAATGAGTCAATTTCAAAGGTTTTGGGTTTCTCAGATGGATAGAAGCTAGAGAGATCGAAAGGGTTTAGGTTTACGGAGAGAGAGAGCAACGATGAAAGATAATAGAGAGAGAGAGAGAGAGAGGCGTCAATAAACTAAGGAGTGAAAAGAGAGAGGAAACCGTTATAAAACCCTAATTTTGAAGCGGTGGAAGATTAGCGAGAGAGAGGGGTCTAGAAACAAAGGAGGGAAAAGAGTGAAAGTTGTGAAACCCTAATTTTTAACACGTTACCTTGGGGGTAAGTGGAAGCAAGCTTCAACCAACCAAGCTACCTTAAAATGTAACCAACCAACCTTAAAATGTTGATATGGAGCTGAAATTAATAATATATATATATATACTAGTGTATGCCCGTACCTAAAGGCACGGTATAAATATTGTTGAGATCAAAATACAGTTATAATTTATATGTATCATGCTAAAATTTGTAAAATCTGTAACTTTTTTTGATAAAAATACTAAAAAAATATAAAGAAATATTCATCTTATGGATTAAAATATAATTTATCTAATTTGTTGCACAAAAAAAAAATTTGAGGTCAAAATATAAATAGATGGTCCGTTTGGTTTGGATTTTCAAATAATTTTATAATTAAAGTTTAGTTGTATATTTTGAAAATAATTTTTACAAATTTGAAATTCAAAACTTATTTGGTTTACAGCTTTCAAAAATAATTTTTAAAATTTTCAATATGTATTTTATTACTTTTAGTAAACTTTTTAAATATTTTAAAAAATAATTGATTTCTACCTAACACAATTTCACTTACAAAACAATATAGGGACATTTATTAATAAATATTATATCCGTAACTTATAAACCATTTAATTCTATAAATAATATTATGAATTCATAAGTTCTATTTCATATTAAAATCTCTCAAATAAAACATATTCACATTTGAAAACGTAATGAGATAATAGTGCATACATTAGAATGATGTTTAATTGTCACAATTTAAGAAAAATGATACATTTAACAAAAAATGAATAAGATATTAGTACACACATTAGAATATTTTCTATTGGCCTTGTTTGACAAAGGCTATTTTTTGGCTTTTTAAGCTAAAATTCGCAAAAAGACAAAATAAGTTAAAATAATCAATAAGACAAAATGTCACATCAAATTCATAATCATTTTATTTTTTTTCTCACAAATATCACATCCAACTACAAAAAAAATCTAATTATCTTTCCAAATACAAAATTTTTAGCCTACTAAAATAACTAAAAATTAAAATAGCCTACTAAAATAGCCAACTTCCTAAACAAGGCCATTGTCATATTTGGCAAAAGTTTTAATCAATAGTATATAAATAAAGCATATCCACATTTGTTGTCTCTAAGAAATATAGTAAAAAGATCTCATAATGTATATTTTCCAATTCAATTGGACTTTACAATGCATACTTTTTTAGGATGGAACTTCTGAATAAATTTGCCAAAAATGATATCACACACACTCTTATTATGTGGGTGCATGAGACTTATATGCATATATGTAGTATTCACATACTCACTATTTCTATAAGTGTATAAATGAGTGTGATTGTCGCATTGTTCGAACTTGTATGTTGTATTTAGATTATGAATTTTGATGGGATTTAAAATGAAAAGGAAAAATATGAAATAAATGTAAATGAAATGTAAGCTAAATTTTTTCTCCATTTCTCTTTTCATTTTTTATTTTCTATCCAAATTTATGATTCAAACATACTGTTAGGCTATAGAATAATTCTATTTACACAATAATTCGATCTTATCACTCCCCAAAATCTTCAAAACAAAAATTACTACAATTTTAACTCTAACTAAAATTACTAAAGAACCCTCAAACTTTAACAACTACAAACCCTAATTTTTCATTTAAAAAACCAATACATGACATTAACATTTACAAGCAGCAGATACATTTAATTACAAACAGATTAATTAATACACACATCTGCTTATGTAAGAAATTTCTGTTTTTATGCTTTGATTTCACATACTTAAAAAATAAAAATAAAAACAGAAATATTGAAGAAGAAGAAAAGATACAAAATACACAAAGATGACATAGAGATCTTGTTGAGTAACATCTAAGATCTGTTTTTTTTTGTTGAAATGGATTGGAGAGAAGAATCAGGTGGCAGTGTAGATGTGGAGATGGAGGAGGCCGATGAGGATGGAGTAGAGGACGAAGAAGAGAAGAGTGTGAATAGCGATGGACTTGCTGTTGGTGTTGAGGCTCCCGAATTCGACAAGGTGGTTCTTACCAGGTATCTGGAACAGCAACCCCGGTGTAAACACCACGAACAACACCACTGCTACTAGCACAGGCCCCCAGTCCGCCATTGAAATTTACAGACAGACACAGATTATCACCAACTGAACTAACAACGACTTGGATTGGAGCTGAAGAAGAAGACTACTAGTTACGTCTGTGGACGTGAGGAGACTTACGTCTGTTCTAATCCAAATTCGAATTGACCAAACCTAACCTAACCCAACCCAACATTTTTTTTAATTAAAAAAATCAATAAATTATAATCATAATATTAAACTTTAAATAAATACAACCTATACTAATAATAATTAATTGATATAAAGAAACTTTTACAAACTGCTAACTTAATTAAATGTGTAGGTTGCTAACTCATCAATATTTTTTGTTTACAAGATTTTTGTTAAAGAAATATAAATTTAAGGATGTTCTTAGTGGTACCAAAAAAATATTAAACAAAATGATGATGAAAATGAACAAGCTTCTATGTCCCTGGCAACAATTATAAGAAAATCCTCCATTTAACCTGTAAGTCTGTATTGGCCACGGAATTCTAATTAAAACAGGAAATCAAACCCCAAATTACATATGTATTAATGAAATGAAGAAGAAGAACAGAGAGAGAAGGGGAAAAAAATAACAAATAAACAACTCTAAAAATGTATGTATTCATGAAATAAAGGAGAACAACAGGGAGAGAAGGGAAAAAATATCAAACCCACATCACACCAATCAACAAAATGTACATAACCTTGAAGCGAATGTACAATAAAGAACTGCAGGAAGCCCGAAATTGGGGTAAAATACCTCTCTTCTGGAAGACGACAGTGGGGTTTAGCCAAATCAGTCAAAAACAAAAACAGAGAGAGAAGGGGTGAAAAGACTCAATCGATCTTACCTTGCGAGAGCACCGTTGGTAGCGAAGGGAGCCAAATTGAGCAGCGTAGCGAAGAGCCTGCAGAAGATTGTCTGTTCGGCACCGAAACAACGGGACCATCGAGCAGTGAACACGGACAGAGTGCAGAATCGGAAACCCTAGAGAGACAGTGAGGGCTTGATGAGAGAGAGTAGGAATGCAAAGATGATCGTCTCAATCGGGAGGAGATTTTAGGGTTTTGGAAGGCGAATTTGTGGGGGTTTGGATCGGAGCGAGGGGATGGAGAAGGGAATGTTGGCGGAGAGTCGACGCCATGAGAGAGAGATTAGAGAGAGAAAACGGTGAAGGACTTATGAATGTAGGGATAAGGATGATTTTCAGAGAGAGAGTGTGAACACCCATCTCATCTCTCTCACTCAACTAGAACACATTGAGAGAGTACCTGGAGAGAGAGTTAAGAGACGTTTGGCAAACGTGGGAGAGAGCAGACGTGGGAGAAAGAGTAGAGAGTGTTTGGGCGGAAAAAAAAATAACGTCAACCGTAGATATTGATTAAAAATTATGTTGATTAAAAATTCTTTCAGTCATTCAAATAAAATGTAACATATTTTCAAAAATTGTTCAAATAAATACATTTTAACATATTTTCAAAAGTTGTTATGTCTTATAATATAGGTATTAGTTTTATCTTTATGTTTTTGTATATATATAAGTTGTTTTCAATTTTTTTTAAATAAATTTTTATTTTCTCATCTCGCTCATCACTTTTAGCCACCACTCACCACAACTATCAATGAATGGCGAGTTCTGACCAAACTCCGACAACTCTCTAGCAAATGGGTGATCGCCGTTGTGATTTTCAATTATCAATTGATATTCTTCAGGTCATCTCATATTCTTCGACATCGTCCAACTACTAAATTCGACAAATAAGTTTGACTACCCATTGCTAACAGGCACCACATCTGTTCGCCCTTCATTTCTGTCCATTAAATTTGGCAACTAATCATCGCACTATTAATTTTTTTATTTAAACCCTCTCATTCTATTTCAATGCGATGTTCAAAATTTTTAATGTAAATTTAAAATTATTTTATTTAAGCCTTTCAACTTCATAATCAAGTTTGCGTAATCTAATTTATAATTAAGGCCTTACACTTTTTTTCTCTTTAACATTTTTTTAAATTTATATATAAAAAAATTACTTTTTCAGTTAAAATAATTTAAAAATAAAAGAAAGTTAAAAATATTGAAAGCAAAAATAAATAAATAAGTAAGATAAAAAATAAATAAATAATAAAAACTGTATATTTTTAATCTTTGATGAAGTCCCTTTCATTCACTTTCTGCTCTTATTAATTTTTTTTTTCTTTTTATCTTTTTGTTCGTTATGGGGATATAAACTGAAGCAACGTAACTTTGAATAAATCACAAAAGTGAAATGATTTATTTATCGAATTTGTTGTCACTCGAATCGTTTGAATTTGTGCCAGCTGGACGATTGGTTTCACCTTCGTCTACCGCAGTTGTCATCCTGTCATCTAGATGACTAGTGTGAACAAATTCATGCAATTCAGACGGCACCAAATTAGATGAATGTAACATTCCTGGTCACGAAAATGGGTCAAAGATTTGTGGGGCGGGAAAAACCGAACCCCATTAGAGGCGAGACGGTGGTAAAAATGGTCTTTGTTAGGGATGAGGAATGGAAATGGAAAAAAATAATAATAATTGGAGATTGGGAACAGAGAGTGTAAAACTCACCCTTCTTGTCTCGTTGCCATTCCTATTTATAACTTCTCCAACCGGTCGGGGTAGGAGTTGGGCATTGGCCAGGTCGGACTGGACCAAAATTTTATCACTTTATAAGCAATTTGTGTTGAGCTGATGTAATCAATTTAAGTCAAATCTAAAATTAATAGTATAATATAATTCTGAATTCCAATTATTATTATTATTATATATATATATATATATTTTAAATGTGAGCGAACTAATTTTTATGAAATAAAAATTGTATTAAAAAGTCATCCAATCTAACGTTCCAACATACATAAAAATATATAATAATATTTCACTTATTACAAATACTTTAATAATTAAAATATTATGTACTATAATATTATGCATTGAAGCATGAGGATGGAGCATAGCTCGCTTTCGGAGAGTTGAGATACAGGTTTGTAAAATTAATTTAAATTGAATAGATTACAATTGTCCCTTTTTTTTTGTGACAAATGCAAATTAAATAGGTTATGATTATTGAATCGATATAATTTTTCTATGTTCACGAAAGAAAAAAATGAAATGTCCAACATACTTAATAGTTCGAATTATCAAAACGATATCTATGATAGATATCACAAGACTAAACAACGCTCTTCAGTTCAAATTATGGACTGAAAAGAATTTCCTCATATAAAATAACTACGTTAGTGATCGGGTTTTTTGTTTCTCTCTCTAATGTAAGAGTGGCCCGGAGAGAATTCCCTCATATAAAATAACTACATTAGTGATTGTGTTTCTTTTTTTTTTTTCTCTCTCTCTCTCTCTCTAATTTAAGAGGTTTCATAGGGCATACGGAATCGAATTAAGAGGAAGATCCGTTCCAATTTAAAATTTGGATTAGAGAGCATTGTTTTGGCCCATGAGGCCTACCACATGCCCCGTTTTGATAATCTAAATCGTTCATTTTATCAAGCACTTTGTGTATTTCATCTACACAAAAAATTAAGTCCATTTGATAACTATAACTTATTTAATTTTTTCTTTTTCACCAACAAAATTGACGACAATTGCGTTCTTATCCGACATGACTGCAACACTTATTTTGAAGTGTCGATACTTCATAGCACCTAGGTCTCTGCAACAACTTTCTAAAAGTTCTTATTGACCAGTATCCGGTTTCGATCGAATAAACTTTACCATTGCCAAAAACTTTACAATGCATAAGGTTCATTCTATCTTTTAATAATTATCGATTTTTATATTTTCTTCTTATTATGTGTTTTTTATTGACATTTTTCATTTTATTTACATACTTTTATTGCTTAAGAGTTCTGTGGTCCAAACATTACAATGCATTCATATGATATTAGGATAGTTAATTATTATTATTTATTTTATTTTATTTTTATCAAACTAAACTAAGCCTTGTATTTCAAACCGATCCAACCCAATAATTTGTGTGTATATTCTCCCCTACAGCCACTAATCCCAGGCACATCAATTTTTGTTATATGTTCTTCTTATTATGTGTTTTTTATTGACATTTTTCATTTTTATTTACATACTTTTATTGTTTGAGAGTTCTCCCGTCCAAACATTACAATGCATACATATGATATTAGAATAGTTAAAAAAATTTTTTTATCAAACTAGACTAAGCCTTGTATTTCAAACTGTTCCAACCCAATAATTTGTCTTTGTATTGTCACCCACAACCACTGATCCCAACTACCCAATTCTGCTAAATTTAATGTCATTTTTCATTAAGTTTAGTAATTAAAATGCTTTTTTTTTGTTGTTAATTGTACTTAAGAAAAATAGATAAATGATTTAGATTGAAAACTAATCAAAATATTAAGGTTTAAATTGATCAAATTAAAAATTCAAGATTCATTTTGTTATAAGGATCATTTTTTTTTTCTTTTGGATAATTTCTCCTAACTAATATTGTTGGAATGAAATAAAATAGAATGATCAATTTATTTTATACATTATAAATATTCATTATTGACTAAAAAATAATTATTATGAAACAAGATTCAATACAAAATTAAGAGACGTTTATTTTAATTAAAGAGACAAAACTATATTTTAAAGTTAAAAAATTGGAGAGATATGTGTAATGCCCTCAAAATAAATCCATAAATTATACATTCATGACATGCTTAGACATAAGAGAATAAAACATAATTACATTTCATCAGAGTATTCATTACAAAATGTATTACATGTTGACAACAAAAGTAAATGCCCTATACGCTTACAACTTTCCAAGTCAACACTTGGATACAAAGAGAGAGTACTAACTCCACACAAAATAAGCCCGTGGCTTGATATATAGGTAATACAACAAAAATAAACAAAGAGTTTTCAACTCCCACAGCCATCCAAGCTAAGATCTCGGAGGCGGCATAATACCTGGACCTGAAAATGATGTCCCATATAAGGTGAGCCAATGCCAGTAGAGATATGCTAAACATAATATAAGCAATAACTAAAACATTAGCATTTGATAAATATTTAACTCATATAAATCAATTCATAAACCATTTCAATTACATGACAAAAGTGTCCATGTTTCATTCCATTTTTCATTCTTATCCAATTTCTCAATTCATAATCCTGGCTCAGAACCTGACCATATACTTTGATGAGATTACATCTCATATCAACAATTCATCCATTTCAACAATTCAATAAGATAACAACTCATATCAAAACACTTCCATAAGCCTCAATAGATACACATAATTGTTGTATCAAAATACATAAAAATACTTCCATAGTTCACAAATGATACACAGATTTGCTGTATCAATACTTCAATAGATACACATATTTGTTGTATCAATGGAGTCCATTCCCTATCTCCTCCCAAATAATATCCGGTTTAGGAGTCCATCCCCTATCTTCTCCTAAACCGTGGAGTACATCCCCTATCTCCTCCCACACAATACAATGTATATAAACATATATCATATACATAATCAATCAATACTTAAGTTTGATGTATTATTCCAACCGTCATATCCGATGACATACTCAATTGATTAGTTTCAATTTGCCTAATCATCATGCATTGTCTACAACAATCAAGACTATCCTCCACCAATAGCCCAAAACAATTATTTCTAAACAGATAATAAATGCATTCAACAGATAAGTATCAACAATTTTTGATGGTGAGTGATTAATAATTCCAACTCCACAATTTTATTACATAATGAACCAATTTCATTATTTCGAACTCAATTTCATGATTCTATAACAATTGTCATTAATTATACTAATGACCCAAATATACCCAAACGTGACATTTTTTCCCTTTTTCTCAATAGTGACTCAAAGGTCCAAATATTATCAACAGCATCAATAACCTCCTTTTTAGACCCAAAACCCATTTGTTTAAATCAAAAGAGCAAAAACCCCTCTTTTCAATATAACACATTACAAACCCTAACTTCCCAAATCAAACAATTTATACAAAAACTCAACATTTAGGTTAAAGCTCATAAAGATGAGTAGGAATCCCTATCTCAAGAGATGAAACCAAAGGAGAAGATGAAGAAATCCCGAAATGCTCCAAATCCACAAATTCTCGGATTGATAGGAAGCCCACACCAAGCTCTACACTTTTCGTAAAGGCTTAAGAGTAGGAGATCACTCTAACTAGATCAAACCCTAGAGAGAAGATAGATTCTAGAGAGAGAAGCTCTCAAAAATGGCTTTTTGAAAAGTAAGAGAGAGAGGGAAAG